AGTTACAGAAAGTACATAAGTTGACATCTCATTATGTTTGAATGTGGTCAGAATAACTTGTAGATTGCCTGTGATGATAATGATGATGATGATGGTGGTGATGGTGATGATGGAGTTTAATTTGGTCGTGCTTTGTCTGGCTGCAGGTAGATGTTTGCGGTTTCCAGCTGGCAAGTAAAACACCGTTTAGGTCGGCTTTTGAAGCTGTTCAACTTCTTACCAAGGTTAGACTGTTCTTCTCTTTGGCTTGCTCCTGATCCGTTCATCTCATGCACAGCTTCTCCATCATCTTCTTCATCCCCTCCTTCTCTTCCTCTCTCACCACGTTCTCAAGGAGTTGGAGTTGTACAAAGAGGAGCTTGTATCGAAGCCTGCTTTACTGGTGGTGAATAAGATGGACCTGCCTGACGCTGAGGACAAACTAGCAGAGCTGACGGAGCAACTACAAAATCCAGATGGTAAATTTGATGAATTTCTTATTCTATTTTACTCATTATTCTTCAAATTTTCACAGTCAGTTAAATTGATGAGACACAGAAAACCTTGCTAACGTGCTAAATGCTATCCAGTCTGTGTATTTAATTTTTCCGCTACATTTTTTCATTGAATGCATCTGAATCCTGCTTTTCTATGTGAAGATATCTGGTCGCTGTAGTGATACAACGGTGGAGTCAGAGCGCAGTTAGCCTTATATTCAATCTTAGATTAAGACAGGAAAAATTGGAACCAATTGCAATGATAAAAGGGCTAACATACATAGTCAATAAAACAAATGTTTTGTGCAGCATTAAACATACATATTGACTGACAACCAAAAAGCAAAGAATCACAATCATTTGTGTTGCCTGTAACATGTTAACAGGACGACAATAAATGCATTCCTCCCTGCAGAGTTCTGTGATCTGTTGCCTGATGACATGATACCGAAGAACTATATGACCTTCAGACACGTGGTTCCTGTCTCTGCCGCCACTGGATTTGGTATTGAACATTTGAAAAGTTGCATCCGAGAATCAGTTGACAAAGATGCAGAAATGACAACTAAAGCCACCCATCAGGGTAGACTGCAGGCACTGAGGCTCCACTCACTGAAGCATTTGTGATGAACACGGACAACATGTCACAAATTCCAGTGGGACCTACAGAGAAAACACCTGTGACAACAGAATGCAGTTTCAGTGCAGACCGGTCAATGGAAGTCTTACTGACCGTCACAGCCAAAACATCCAATGTCACGAGGCTCCACGAGTTGAACTGTGCTTCGAATTGTTTGCCTGTTTGGTCTGAGCTTTTCGCAGTCTAAGCAGAAACGGATTTTACAGGGGAAAAATTAACAGATTATCAATATGGCAGCTGATATAGTGAATTTTTAAGCTGGAATGAAAACAGACCGATTTTGCATCGATAGGACTATTCAACGGTATTCAGAAGGCTGCTTTCTAAAACAAACAACTTTAGAGAATATTAAGGCTAAATATTCTTTAACATGTTAAGTTATTCAACATGTAGGCTACTCTGTGAACCAATTCTAAAAATGAACACTGAGAAAATAAAGCATGAATAAAAATTAAATAAGTAGCTAAACATCAGTACTATAAAAACTACAACTACTACGAACTACTGCATTATATACCAGGAAAGGAGGTTTTCATATCGGTGCATATCGGATGACACAACAGTGATACTGATATGTCTAATAGGCCAATACCGGACGATAATATTGGCTCTAATTTGAACAAATTTATATGCTTACCCTTGAAAGGATGTTGGTAAAGCAAACGCTAAAGCAGCACCAGGTGCATTCGTACCAGCCAGTTCTTTTCTGTTTCGTCTGATTGCTCACAAAATCAAGATTGTATTTATTTTTACCATTGTGTGTTATATGGATGCACTGATCCAACTTGTTCTCCCTAAATACCAATTCTGATACCAGAGCTCTTTTTTTTTTTACCCCCAAATTTAAAATCTTACTGTGCAGAACTCACTGCAGTTATTATGTTTGGTTACACAAGGCCAGGGATTACTGTGGCACAACAAACGGAGTCTGCTGCCTACTGTAACTGATAATGGAAACACTGAAAGTTATAATGACATTGACAAAGAAACTGCATTTACTGTGGATCGGTCACGCCTAATATGTTGGATCAGTGCATCTCATGTGTGTTGTTGTAATACAAAACCATAAATAAATGGAGTCAGTTCTCCAGTATATCCTGTAGTGTTTCTTTTCCTGTATGAGTAAAAGGTTATTACAAATGTTAGCATAGACGGATGTGTTGATGAAAGTTTTATTTTATATTAAATATATTACAATACTGAATGATTAAGAGGGGGAAAAAAATATGGGGATTGATTTTTGCATCATCAGTCTGTACAGCATACAGGCAAAATAAAAATAAAAAGACAGAAACTGCAGTATTTAGATTTGAAATAGAACATGTGGGGTTTTCAAGGTTCCTGCAGCAGAGTGCTGATGTGTCTGGCAGGATGGGACCACATGGTTACGACTGGGTGGTTGGTGTGCTCCAGTACACAAATACATTCAAGTCTCTGGCCAGACAGAGACAGACAGCTCATTTGTGGGGGCGTTTTGCCAGAGTGGTCCTGTTAGGATCCGTCAGTCCAACCGTGTGCACAGGCAGATACAGCAGATATGTTTGGAAAATTGACAGCTGTACAATCACAGAAATCACTGCAGCCTGCAGGGTCCCATCCTTAGCGGAGTCTACTCAGAATGTTGTACAGTGCAATGTCCATGACACCGGGACAAATGTCTCGCTGTTGCACAGTATCATGATGTTACAAATATTACTCGAGCTCTGAGATACCGCTCTCCACAGCCTTGGGTGGCCCACGAAGATGACTGGGCCACTAGACACTTACTAATACTTTTTAAGAAGACCAGGGCGAAGAAGAAAGCTCTGGTAGAAGGCAAACTATGAGCCCATACAGATCTCATTTACATTATGTATCCAAACCTTTTATGATACAGATTAGCACATGCCAGAGGAACGGCCGCTTTCTATTGGCCCTGGGACAAATGTGTTTTCAAACTCAACATGTCTCCATTCAAACTCAACAACACACATAATTACAATAATGCACTTAATTACTGTTTGAATCGTTGCTGTACATAATGCTGAGAAAAAAGTGAACATTACAAAGGTACTTAATAAAAAAGATACTAGCAATATTAGTCCAATATTGTGAAGATCATATTACTTATACAATCCTAATGCATACATGAATTACAAATGAGTGCCCACACTGGAACAAAAACAGTAAAATGACAAACAGGAGGCCTTAAGACAACAATTTCTACACAAGGTAGAACAATGAGTTGTAACTGTACAAAGAACTTGCTTTTTGGGGAGTGATATGGGATTAGTTTCCCAAAAAATCCACCTTAAATAGCTACACTGGCTTTAGTCAACTCCATTCTCAATCACTTTTAAAACCTGTGACTTCCTGCCATGAATTGTCCTGACGGTGCTCACAAACGGTGTAGTCTGTGGTTCACAAACCCAATTTAGACAACAGCAAATAGGCAATGAGGGGGGGAAAGTCTTTCAGCGACATGCTCGTTTCCCGTTATGGTCTCACAAATAGCCTACCAGAGAAATAACTTAATTTGATATAGAACTGTCATGCTGTTGGTCTTCACAAGCTCAAACAGCAAGCACTGTACAGCATAATGAATCATTTACAAGGCTAAATATCTCAATCATCACAGCTAAATCCAAAATGCACATTTCAATCACAGTTTCCAGATTCTCTCCCGGGTCATCAACCGCGCTCACGTTATCGACTTCTTATCCTCACGTTCATCTCGTCTCAAACATCCAAATGTAGAATCAGGGCAAACTAAATACATCTTAATATTATCAATGGGGAAATTTTCAAAAAACCACAGAGTGAAAAGTGGCGTCTCTATAACTACACCAAACGCATCCCGTTCATTTCACTTAGGAATGGCACGTAAAAACTATTTAAATGTTCCTAAATAATACTCATCGACAGCCGCTTTAGCAACATACATAATGCGCCGCAATCGACATCCTTATCAATACTTCCTCAGTAGTAACTGGATGTCTGTGCATTTCTCCCAGAGATGGATGAAACCAGTGCCAAGATAATATAAAAACACTTTTACATTCTGCTGTGGATGGAGAAAGCTATATAGGTCACAGTCACACAGGAAAAAAGCCAGAGGGAGGAAAAATATAATAAAAAAAACCAGGACGAAATAGAATAGAAACAGACAGAAGAATGAGTGCGGGGTCTCTACACTTATCTACAGAAATCGGCTTCTGTCTACAACACAACACAACAGGAAGAGGAGAGAAGAGACTTCGCTCTCTTTCAAAATAAAAGCAAAAAACATACTCTGTGTGTATTTTACTGTACATATTTACACACGCACAAACAAACCGAGGGGGGGAGGAGCAGGGCGGGGTCAGGTTGGGTCCATGTCATGGGTTATGGGCTATAACTGGTGATACAATATAAGTTACCTATAGTGGAGGGAAAGAGTCTAAGCCTACAGAAGGTATAAAATCTCTGTCCCCTCGCATGCTTTCCTTTCAGATCGGACAACTGTTCTTCTCGTCTTTTGAGTAGGAGGAGGTTGCTGATAAACGGGGTTGTCTCATGCATACAGTGTTGGAGAGTCTACAGTGATTCACGTGCGTCAAAATTATCCAACAAATCCAGCGATGCAGTGTGATACGATGACCTGCTCCTGGCTCCGCTGCTCCTCTTTTAGAAAGGAGCTCCAAACAACTTGTTGGGCGGGGTGGGGGGTGGTGGAGTTGAACTTGAGGAGTATGACGAGAGCAGAGCTAAAGAGGATGTGTCGAGGTTTGAGGTTTGAGATTTTAGGACGGGGGGGGGG